CCTAGTCTCCTGAACCAATAACAGGTTATATTTTGCATGCTTACAGATAAAAGCACAGATTAAATAATTAGTAACGTTTTAATAGAATTACATCAATAATTTCACCATAAGAGAATATATGACCTGTAAGTCGTCCCCGAGGGCAGGTTTGGGAAAGGCTATATTAAAAAATTCTCTCTACAATGGATGTCTTCTCTTTTGTTTAAGAGAAACCTAAAAGAGCAAAGTAAAAGAAAGATGATACATGTACTGTTGCCAGTCATATATCAATGTGCACAATCAGGTCCCTGTCTGATTTTAGTTTTTTTAAATAAATTAGCAACCCCATTCCAAAATGACAACTAACATATGTACCTAGAAAGAGGTTTACTTCCTTACCTGCCCCCATCCATCCTGCGGTTCATCCATCCCTGTTTTCACTTCTGCCCATTTCCAGTGGGTGGTTTAGTGTATGATGGGTATACAGAAAGCTGGCCTTTGGCAAGTAAGGACCAGGAGTGACAAAGTACAATAGTCATGGGATGCTGACAGAGGGAATGTGTACCAAGGAATGTTGCTGATCACAGAGCCGCTTTTATTAAGCAGAAATGAAACACGAGTTTGTGAGCAGAGCATGTATCTGGAAACTTCAGGAGAGCCGGAGGGGAAGCCAGGGACCAGACAGATTTTATCTAAACATTCCTAATGTGTCCTCTAAACTGATCAGATGGTATGGTAGTAATAGGCTAGTCATATTTAAAATATATTTTACTTTAAACATGTAAAATAGTCTTGGTAGTATGGTTTGTGTAAGTGATTGCATACATGTACATTATAACCCTTAACTGATGAGCATATAACCTAGCTGCCCAACTCAGATAATATGAGTAGATCAAATTATGATGTGGTCACATATTACAGATACTTCTATCAGATGCATGTTTAGAAATGCGAAACATTTGTACCTCAGACATGTACGGTAGAATAGGGTTTACATTTAGGGAGGCTCATATAGTAAATGCATCTGTTAGTGTTGTTGAAGTGGTTTTGTACATTCAAATAGTTTTCAGTAATAAAGAGAAAGGTGTTGTCTGGAATTAAACCTAGACTATGGCATTTCCACAAGAACATTTTTAGGTACATATATATTTAATTTTAGGTACATACTTATTTATTTTTAGGTACTTTTTATTTTTGGATCTAAAAAGGGAACTTTATTTGACAAAAAAGAACATACAAAAAGTTTGGAGTGTAAGTGATACTCTGCAAGTTTTTGGAATGTCTGAGATTCCTTCTTCACAATTTATACTTCTTCAGGAATTGTACAAAGCACGAAGAATCTCAGTCATCCCAAAATCCTTAATAACTTAACGTGCCACTAAGCTCAGAAGTTAAACCTAAAATGCATTCAAGTACCTTTACAATAAACAAAAATGTATATTTTTTGTGTATCACTGGGCTGTAGATCCTCAATCCTTATGTTCCCCATGGTCACTGCGTGGGTTGTAAAGTAGCCACCACTCCAAGTTTGCTCCCGTGATGACTACAATCTCATATTTAATTTACTCATTTGTATTGAGATTGTAGTCCATCACAGGAATGAGTTTGGAGCGGTGACTACATTACAACACTCCATGGGGAACAAAAGTAGCCACCCTCCAGAAGGAAGGGCAGTGTCTGCAACAATTCAGAAATGATTTGAGGATCTACAGCTGAGTGATACACAAATAAGATACATTTTTGTTAATAGTTAAGGTACTTGAATGCATTTTTAAGATTTAACTTGTGAGTTTAGTGTCACTATAAGTTAGCCAATAAAGGGTACCTCTTAAAATCCACTGGTTTTGAATCAATCAATGGCTAACACTGTACAAAACTTTACTACTGCAGAAAATGCAAAGAATTTTATTTACCCACATTATATATAGAAAAAGAAATGCAAGTGCTGTGTCTTGGTATGCATGTATAGAGGCACTCAATGGTGTTCGCTGCAAACGGGAGTATCTTTCCCCCATCTTTAACTATCTTAGTATGCATGACAGTCTGTGTTTTCCAAAAAAGCCTTTATGCCAAATCTGATCACCAGCATCAATATTTAAATAATTTGACTTGAATGTGAAAATTCCTGTATGTTCCATGTGGATGAGCCCTATAATATTGGAAAGTATGCCCTATGTACAATGGATGTGCCACACAATACATTGGATGTGAAACAAGAATGTGGTGAAGGTTCAGATCATTTGTGTGCTCGCTGTGTGCAGGTTGTTTATGCTGGCAGTAAAATTTATAACCTTAGTTTCAAAGTTCCTATACTACTGGCAATTAAGTGAAGTCCTGAAAACAAACAAAAAATTCTGATTACTATGAATAACGTCATCCGATCTAGACAAGTACATGTACTGCATACCTGTACAATTTCTGAAGTGCATTGCCTTTTTTGGAGTAAAAAAATTGGCGCACTGACACCTGTTTACTAAAAGTAGTAACTTATATCCTAGCTAAATAGCTATTATATGTTACATTGCCTTCTATAGTGGCTCACTGGTTTACTATACATGTATAATAGCTTATTTAACTACATTCATGTGAATATGAATATATGCATTTGTTTTTTTCATATGCTAGTAAGCTTCCTAGTTACGCTGGGTTCACACCTTAGCGTATTGGAAACTCGCGTTTGCCGTGCGTTTCTTACCGCACGGTTTTACCGCGATTTGCGGTAAAAGAAACGCGAGGCAAACGCGAGTTTCCGAGGGGGTATCCGGCTGTATCCTGATGGATACAGTGGGATACGCGCGTTAATAGGCCCCAAAGAAGCTCCTGTACTTCTTTGGGCGTATGGCGTTTTACCACGCAATCGTACGCGCGGTAAAACGCTCAGGTGTGAACCGGGCCTTAGTGGATTGTTTGAAGTGTAATGCTACTGGGGTTATTTACTAAAGGCAAAAAGGCCGTTCACTTTACAAGGGAATTTTTGCTTTGCAAGGGTCTAAGTCAGGGGTCTCAAACTCAATTTAGTCGGGGGCCACTGGACAAATGTTTTAGTCCCGTGCGGGCTGCTACTATATACAGTACCAGTTTTTATGTATGCACATGTTACAAGCGGCAACTGTCACCGATTCAAATTAATGTTCGGGTGAAATCCGCTGCATGTAAACGCCTGCACACCGCATGTAATCATATGTGAAAGGATTTCATGCAGTTAGGAATCAATCACTATCCCTGGATACACAACGGTGTATCCAGGATAGTGATTGTTTTTGTAACTGCATGTAATCCTTTCACATATGATTACATGCGGTGTGCAGGCGTTTACATGCAGCGGCTGTCACCTGATCATGTTGAACTTACAGTATACACAGTATACAGTATGAACTCACTGTTGAACTTACAGTATACACAGTATAAACACAGTGGTTTCACCACAGCTGAAGGGACAGAGTTTGCCTACCCCTGCCCTAAGTCAATTGGAAATTACGTTTTGTGAGACTAATGAATCATCATTTTAAAGCATGGCTTAATGGAATTTACATTTATAGGATCTGAAGAAACTAATACCAATGAGCAGAGCTTGTGATAGCACCTAGTGTGAATGCATTGTTCTTTAATCCATATTACAAAACATGGCACAACACTTGTGCAGATTAACGAGCTTAGCAGTACAACAGCCCACAACAGCAAGTTGGAAAAATAGTTCTGTTAATGTGTATAAATAATGCATATGCATACATTTCTCTTGTCATTTTGCTGTGTTTATCTGTTAGTTGTCATGTATATTGCAGTATGTCACCTTATCTTCCTTTGGTCAAGTTATGATTTAGTCAGTCTGCAAGTTTAACTGAACTTCTGCAACAATCACTCACACATAAAGGCTTATTGCAATTGTATAGTTAATGACACATTTTATTTACTTACTGACATATTTTACAGTGAATTCTGAGATTTGGGCAAAAGAGGGAAGGTGAAGGTCAGTATCGGGCAGGTAGAGCAAAAGACAGAGGCACCATTATGAAAGTCCAGCTTGGGACCTATGACCTCATGAATACCCAGCTTCATGTGCTACATATGGGACACACAAACTTAGCTGGGCACAGAGGGCTTACACTTAACATACAAGGGTCATAGGCAAAGGGGTGGACGGTGAAAATTAGAGGGAATTCAGTAAGACCTGCAGCACCTCTCCATGCACATCATACAAGGTCTTGTAGAATACACAATCCTATAAAGCCACTAGAGCTTACAGCTTAAAACAAATGGACGTCAAGGAAAATATTACCTACATAGCACATCTTCAGCACTTCTTGCACTCTTCTTATAGGGTTCAAATGACTATAGCTGTAATGTCGTTTTTACTTACTGGAGCATTAAAACCTCTCTAGGAGACTGCTAACATATGATTCTAATGGACCAATAATTTAATCACCGATATTTGTTGATGGGAACGGAAATAATTTTGCCATGATCCAGTTCACCAATGATTACTAAGCAATCTTACATGCCATTAAATACAAGAAACAAAGATTTTAGGTTTAATATTCTGCACTTTCAATTGTGGCATCTGTAACGATACTTAAATGGGATCTGGGAACAACTATACTCTTACACAGGGTCTGCATTTGTTTATATGGCACCCTGTTCAACAATTTTAGTGTAGTGCCTACCCCCAGCCAAAGAAAAATAGAAATCTTGCTCACATCTTTTTGTATCCACTGACATTGTCAAAACATGGACTAATGCACAGAACAACTTCCTGGCCTGCCATATCATTATTACATTTTACATCTGTTACCGGGGTAATACAATGCTGCCATATGGATGCAGGGGTACAACAAATCCATGATACAGGATAGGTAAGAACTGAGTTGCCAGTGCCTGAGATGCACCTGTTCCCTCTCTTCTCATAATTTCCTTATACTTTCTGCTCTGTAAAAGCCACTTTAAAAAGACCTTGGTGTTAAGTTGGCTCTTCTAAAGCAGTGAGGATAGGGGTAGAAAAAAACTGCTTATATATATTAAAAGTAATTTTAATAAATGTTCAATAGAGGTGAAAATCCAGCTGATGGTACCCCTCAGGATAAACCCTGTGCAACTATATAGGTAGCCCATTTAGCTAACACCGGCTATACTCTTACATATTACACAATGCTTCCTACGGCTGGGCTAAATAGGGTCCTGACCTTAACACTTTTTTCTGTTGCTTCCTATAATGAAAATTACCATAAAATACCATCACATTATAATTCTTAATTACTTTTTTTGAACAAGTATGAGTCATCTTCACATAATTATCTAGTTCCTGCTCAACCTCTCTTACACTGACCGAAAATATCCCTGACATATTTTCATTTCAGTAGTTCTGTATTATCCACATCACATTCAATTTATGTATGCTTTTTTTTATCTCTCTTGAAACTCAGGCTTGAGCAATAATAAGGCTTAGCATTGGGAGGAGAGCAAATTGGAGGCATTTGAAAGTGTTTGCTGAAAGTCTTCTTTGTAAAAATTGGCAGTAGCTTTCTTAATATATAGAGAGAGCTGCAGATTCTTCATAGATAAATACAGTGGATGGCAACAGGAGAAAATGTTGAACTGTTTCTGCCATTACAGCATGTATAGCTGAGAAGAAAAACAAGCACCCCTCTCATACACATTGGAGTGACATAGAAGAAAGCCTCATTCACCATCTCTAAAAGCTTTACGTTGGAAACAAGTGTGGCTTGAGTCACTCAAATTATTGGGTTATATATTGTAGAGTCCTTCCAGGTTTTAGAGAAAGCAATGTTCATGGCAGACTGGATACCATATTCTGAGTCTTGAAATTGTGAAGAGGATTCCCTCGAAGGCTGCAGCAGACAGAGAGAACCCATTATGGAACTGAGAAAAAGGCTATGGGGTTGCAGTTCTCCATGCTGACATAGGAGCGCCATTCTCAGGCTTTAAGGGGTATGTAAAGTAGAGGAGGAAAGGCATAACCCTCCCCTACGTTCTCCTGCTTACATCACACTACAACACTTGCACCTTTGTTTCTTCATGCTTAGGTCCTGCTCTCCACTCGTGGGTGCTACTGTGTCATTGGTCTCTGGCTTCTCACTCTTCTTGGGAGTATCTACAGGAGCACCATTCGGAGGATGCTCTGCCTTTTCTTGCAGGTCTCCATCAACAGCTGGCTGGGCATCTCCATCACCAATGATGACCAGTTCAGCAGTGATAGCCTCTTCCACACCCAGAACTTTCTTTGTCTCATTCTCATCCTCTACATTCTGATAGCCCATGAAAATCATGGTTACTGGTTGTTCTGGGCCTGGTGAAGTCTTAGGAGGCCGAGCCTGCACACCGGGAATCTCCTTGCGGGGAGATGCTTTTTTGACCTGAGTCTTCTCATCTGAGGTTAAAGAAATCTCACTGAGTGTTGCTTCCTCTGCCTTTGTGATCAGTTCTTCCACCTCTGTGGAACTCAGCTGGTGAACTGTATCATTTGGAACTGCCACCTCAGATCTCACTGCATGCACAACTGAAGGGAGATAAAAGAGCGTGAGAGAAATGCAAAACACATGAAAACAACAGTGATTAAATGGGATATATGCAAATGTTTGAAAATAGTATAAAGTGTGCACTCTGTAAATGCAGTAAACTTGAACATATTTTGTAATATGTGGAAAAACAGCATGCAAAATTACCTTAATAAGACCAGTACTGACTCAGGTAAATCCACTTTCTTGCAGAGCTACACCTGCCACTGGAATCTACGCAGCCAACATTTTTGGGTATATCAAATGCTGTGTCTCCCTGCCCCGACTGTTATGTCACTAGTGTGTCCCTGCAGCTCTAAAGAGACTCACTAGTGACATAGCCGCCGGCAGGTGGAACCACAAGGTGCAGCGAGAAAACACAAGTATCTGACACACCCGGAAGTATGGGATGCTGAAGATTCTACTGATAGATCTACAATAGCTCTGCAAGAAAGTTAAGACTGGATTCACTAGAGCAGAATTTGGTAATATTGTCACTTTATTTACTTTTAGAAACTTTTTTTTTTAAATTAATTAATTTTCAGTGACAGAGTAATTTTAAAAAGTAAGATATTGCCCAAGTACAATAACCCATATAATCAATCAACTATCATCTTTCCTTTTCTAAATGCTGTAAATACATAGAAAATATGAAAACTGATGGGTCACTATATAAATGATGGGTTACTGCACTCAGCACATCATCAGTGTTCTTTCAAATGTAAAATAAAAGACCAACAGTGTATGTATGTATGTATCCATGTGTGTATGTAAAAAGCCTACCAAAATGCTTGAAAATATGTCTATATACACTGGGGGGGAATAAAAAAAAAAGTGTCAGAGACAAACTTTGTCTCAGCCAATTAACTTTTACATTTTTATTTTCTTAGCTTTTCTAAGCGAATTCCCCCTGTGTATATATGTGTACAGAAAGACAACAATAATTTATATTTCTTAATAGCATAATGAGATCATGGAAAAGTAGTCATAGAATAAAATAAAAGTAGAAAAAAAACTTTAGAATGGCTTCTCCATCCACTTTAAATCCCGGATCATCTGCAGTTGTTGCAAACTAGTAGAGGCTTCCGGAATGAGAAAGAAGAATGACTTCAAATGACAGTTTGCTATATACCTGTACCTGGAATTACCATTGTGTCTGACGAGGATAAAACCCGTCTTTTTAAAGAACCCTACCTTTCTGTTCATCTTCATACACCTTGACCCCCTGCAGGGGGTGCTCTTTGGGGAGCACAGTGTTGCTAGAGAGGACCTTAGTCTCCCCTGTGATTCTGTCCTTCTCTACTGTTATCTGCACAGAGTACATGGCTGGGACACAAACAGGACAGCAACATTAAATCTTACAACACCCCTGAAACCCTCCCACCATCCTTCCGAGGGGCAGCAAGCAGATAAACACAGAAGCAGAACGCGGGCTCTGAGTGAAAGTAGCGAAGCAGAAAGGCAGCAGATGATGTGTCCATTTCCTTGATTTGCTATATCCCCTGCACAGGATCCTGATCATGCTGTAAGGACGACAGGGCTAGCAACAGCAAGCTGTGATCAGCACAGTTAGGTGCCACTACGTGGTGTAACTGCATTCCTATTGTCATTACCGTATGTTAACATGTTGCGACATTATGCCACTGCTTTCAGAGTGACTAGAATTCATTTAAAAGGAGAACAGATCAAGCATACCGAACTGTATAAGGTAAAATAGTTTTCACTTTAAATGATTGACTTTGGCATATTCTTTGTTTTGTTATAGTGCTCCATTTGTGAATGTTGCCATAGACTGCCAACTGAAAGGTTGCCATGACAGAAACTGCAGCAGTGACAAAATGTTTAAATTTTAGTGCATAATATGCAATGAATCGCTCAGTACTGGAAGCACTAGTTACTCATCTAGTAATAAAAATTCATAGCAAGTATAGTGAAAAGGTTAAAATGTAAAGAGTACCTGCCACTTGCCCATAATAGCACAATAACAATCATAGTAATCTTTCTGGCAGCCAGAATATTGATGATATTGTGAATATTCTACACACTGACAGGAGTATGCTCACTGCACTCTTGAGAAACATCAGCAAAATTATAACTATAGGAGAAAACTGTCTGAAAACCACTGAAATGTTTCTGGTACCAAAGGATTTACACCTCTGACCAAAGGTGTCTTAAGCCGGGTATACACATGACAACTATTGGATAGTTCCTGATGAACCGGACGCAATTCGCACAGTGGGTGCCCCTGTTGGCACCCTTCGGCCCGGAATTCATTGATCAGCTGATCGAAGGAGCTGGTTGCAAAATTCTCGGCCGAACAGAGGTAGTAGTCAATCAGCTAGCTCAGTTCAGGTATTCTAACTGGCCAGCAGCGCTGTCAGAATACAATAGAAACAGCAGGGGATTCCACAATCAACAGTCATATGATGGAGGAATCTGTTCTATTTTTTTCGTTCAAACTGCGGGTTGTACAGAAAAAAATGGACACGTCTATACCTGGCTTAAGGGTAGCCATGAATAGGAGCAATAGGTATTTGGGTAAATGTCTATCCTCTCCTGTGCTACTGGGACCAACTGCTACCTTCTCTGCAATCCAACCAAAGCTAAATCTTTATTTCCTCCATAGGAAAGGAACAATCTGTGCCTGCTAACAAACTGATTTTCCAACATCTTTATGGTAACAGCCTGATCTTCATAAGCAATGTTGGAATATTCTGCCTTGCTTTCAAAGGTCAGGCTGCCAAGTTTATCTGTTTAAGGGGTAATCAAAACTTTCATGACCAGATCTCTGGCATGCGCAGCAATGTCTGATCATCAATAGACTTTTATGTGTGTACATGCATTCTGACTGGTTAGGAGTATGCATGTGCTTGCGTTTTTGCACGTGGGGAGAGGGGCTTTGAATTTTTTATATTTTATTATAGTTTACTGTTTTCCATTTACTACTATCACAAGGGGTTTATTAAACCTCTGATGTCTCCACTGCCACCAATCCAAACAGACGGAGAGTCCTCTTTCTACTGCTTATATGGTCTCTACCAGTGGGATTTGACAGCTCTGAAGTCACAAGTGCTTAATGCTAAGCACTTCTTGGTTTAGTCTCAACAGAGAAGAATGAGGAGGAGATCTTCACTGTTTAGCATTCTGAAAAAGCCCAGCCATCGTGAAGCTTTCTGCACTTGTGTTAGGATCCAGAGCGCCTCCAGTACTTAGCCATCACCTGGTGCTTCCTGGGAGGATATTTAAACCCTCCCTGCAGTCAGGACGATGGCTCAGTATCGTTTCCTGTTTCCTGAAACTTGAACCCTGAGTCCCCAGTTCCGGTGAACCCTGCTTTCCGTCCAGAGTCCTGTTACCAGTCCTGTACCCTGCTTGTGTCCCGAGCCCGGTTACCCATTTGCAGGCCTAGATACCTCTTGTTGCCATTACCTGCCTTTCCTCCTGTTGCCATTACCTGCTTGTCCTCCTGTTGCCATTACCTGCTAGTAATCTGGTTGATGTTACTTATTTATGTTTGCTTTTGGGTGTTGTTTATATATACAGTTTAATCAACAGCAAAGTAAACAACACCCAAAAGCAAACATAAATAAGTAACATCAACCAGACTACTAGCAGGTAATGGCAACAGGAGGACAAGCAGGTAATGGCAACAGGAGGAAAGGCAGGTAATGGCAACAAGAGGACAAGCAGGTAATGGCAACAAGAGGAAAGGCAGGTAATGGCAACAAGAGGTATCTAGGCCTGCAAATGGGTAACCGGGCTCGGGACACAAACAGGGTACAGGACGAAAAGCAGGGTTCACCGGAACTGGGGGTTCAAGTTTCAGGAAACAGGAAACGATACTGAGCCATCATCCTGACTGCAGGGAGGGTTTAAATATCCTCCCAGGAAGCACCAGGTGATGGCTAAGTACTGGCAGCTGGGAAACACCCGCAGGTGAGCACTGGAGCTGCAGGTCTCAGCTCCTGCGCCACCTAGAGGCGCTCTGGATCCTAACAAGTTGTCCCAGGCTCATGTGGAAAGGCAGGCGAGCCCCAGAACGGAGGTGCAGTGGACCACAAAACTCTGCAGGCAGCATGTATCATCATGGCTGCATTGTTAAGAGGGTGGCAGTGAACAAGTTAACCAGAGCCATTCAGATAATTTACTACTGGAGATGAGAGCAATCCCCAGAGTATGCTGCAGTTGCAAACATTGGACTTAGGTAAATGTCCCTCTAGCACAGGGAACTTCCCGGAAAGATGTTTACTTACAGATTGCAGATGGGAAGGAATTTAAAATTCCTTCTCTATAAAAAATGCAAGAGTACACAATAATGAAATGATGACTGTTTAACTGAAAAACTGTTTGACTGCTGGAACATCCAACTGCCTTTTGATGTTTTAGTGAACAAGTAAAAAGTCAAGCAAGAGCTGCGCACACTCCCACTCCGCCACATAACAAGGTTCGGACCAGGCAGTTGGTCACTCAGGTGCCAAGTGCTGCATGGTGGGGAGACGGAGGGAATTTCACATGTTCCCCATACCCAGATGTACTAAAGAATTCTTGGGAAGCCCAGCAGAAGATAGCGGCAGCTCAGGAGTGAGCAGAGGGCAAGCAGATGCTACCTTTGGTCCACAGGGAACTGGTTCACTTTAATAATGTACCATATACTGCTATTTATCTGAGCAGCAATGGCTAAAACTAGAATGGAAAATTCGGTTGCAAATTCACGACACCTCTCATTAAATGCTACCATTGCAATATCACTACTATTGTGTCCAGTTAGACAACTGGACCAGGCATCAAACATCTGGATTGCCACAATAATGTATCGCTAGATAAGGCTGCCCAGCAGTTTAATTAAACGGCGAGACGCCTGGCCCACTTTATAGCTACGGTACTTATTTTACACTTAAAAGTATAAAACTGTTATGCAACTTTTATTCTCTACTAAAGTATATGTGGTAGTAACTACCTATAGCGATTCATATTTTGCATTAAATGCATCAACAACAGAAATTTCAAAATGGCACGACAGGTACACTTTATGCTATGTTAGTTAGCAATGAATTGCCATCATATTCAAATATTTTAGCATATGCAAATATTGCTTTCAGTTTGTGGCAGTGCAGCCTTGCGATGTATCATTGCTACTGCTAGGCAGCGGCATGTTCAATCTTATGATATAAGCCAACTACAAAGCACAGTAACCATTAGCAAGCAATCAAAATCCTTTCACTGACCAGTTTACAGTACACTCATTTCTGATTGGTTGCTCTATAGTACTGCATAGCATTACTGCTTACACTGTCTTTATGAATACACCAGCACAGGTGCTAAACACTTTACTAGGTCAGTAATAACAAGTAGAGCTCAGCCATGCCTTTTTCCTGGGTGATGTGGAAGCCAAGGGGTGCCCAGCACAGGAGAAGGTGCCAAAAGGTGCTGTGAACCCCGGAAGATACTCACCTGCTCTCATCATATCTGGACTATCTGTCTTCTTTGCTGGGGACTGCGAAACATTCTGATCTGTGGACACAGAACATTAAAACTGCTTAACATGAACAGTTGGAAAAGTAGTAAATTAATTCATACAATTGTTTCCCCCTGATGTATACATCTTATTATGTGCCATAAAAAAAAGCAAACTGAACTTACCCCTGGCAGCATTCACTATGGCCTGAAATGAAAAAAAAAAGGATGATTTTTTTTATTCCTGTATGTTTATCAGAAAAGTAAGTGCACATTAGGGAAAGAAATCAGAAAAAATGAAACCATCAATATAATTTTGCAAAATTCTAATTCTAAGAAAGAACTCCTGGATAAAATTCTAATCCTGTAAATCCAAATAGGTAATGTCCTTCCTGTTTCACAGCCATTTGATAGCCGTAGCTGGGAATAATAAGGACAGTTGAGACCGGGTATCGGTTCATGCTGTTTAGTTGGCTTCTTTAGAGTCTAAATACAATTATTATTATTATTTTACAGGATTTATACAGCGCCAACAGCATATGGGCAGACAGTACAGTTACAATACAATACCATACAAAAGGAGTAATAGGACCCTGTTCGTGAGAGCTTACAATCTACAAGGGGCAGGTTATCACCGGGCATATCCCCTTTCTACAACATATGGGGACAGTCTGCAAATGGATGTCGCCCTATCTATTTATAGGCATCATCCAGGTTGTGCAGACTGCTGGCCCGTCCCAGCTGCACATGACGCGCGCCATTAGCGGCAAACGGCGTGGTTTGGTGCGGCGGGAATATAGCAGGGAGAGAGAGGGGAGATGTGGGCTGCTCGGATTGGGGGGCTGTCTTTCGCTAGATGAGGAGTGATACTACATTGAGTAGGTATATATTCCCAACATTTCAGTATGGATTTGGATTAGATGATATTATTCAGCAGCTCTATTTTTGATGTATAGTGAACTTGTGTATATGTATCTATGGGATTGAAATGGATATAGTATTTGATCAAACACTTTTAAAGCCCCATTTGTCTATTTTGTTTTTGTATTTTGTATACCTAGGGGTTTGGTGTCCTTGTTCGTGTGGTGATTCGCAATTTTGTGTACAAGGAGGGACATGTGATAAAGAAGGTAATAACTGTGAGGGATGAGCTGACTGAAGGAGTGCACCTTTTAAGAGGTGGAATAGGCTTCCCTGAAGAGGTGAGTTTTCAGGGATCGCCTATATGCAGAGTAGGAGATAGCCGGATAGGTTGTGGTAGGGAGTTCCAGAGTACTAGTCAGTACCTGATGTGGTAGGTCACAGCAAAGGGCAATGGGACATCTGAGTTTTTTGAGTGATAGAGTTGATCCATGAATCTGAGTTATGAGTAAAATTGCACCATATTTAATTACTATTTGTAACCTTACTAATGCATTTCCTGGTTTAAATTAATGGAAAGAAAGTGTTATTGTAATGTACTGGGACTAACATTTTGTGTTCAAAGTGATGGCCTCTCACTTGTTCTGCCTGATGAAGGGGATCCTGTGTGCCCCCGAAACGTTGCAATAAGTGTATTGTTGCATGATGCGTCAATAAAATAAGTTTTTCTACTTTGGAGTGCCGGTGTCCATAACTCTTTATACTTTGCCTGGACGGTGGCCATCCGTCGACTACTGATGCACCCAACCCATTCATCAAGGATTTAGCGGTAAGGAGTGCAATGGGTACACTGACTATCAAAGTGATGGCCTGGCACCTAGAGATGTGGCAAAAACAAGATCTTGCAAGAGACTCACCCATACAAGTCATGGATAGTGAATTCTGATATTTAAAAGGTATCTAGGGTCAAAAACTAAATATAAATTTGTATTTTTATATTAAATACCCATAAGTTTTATCCCACTCCTAATAATCATATCCATCTTGAAGTTTGTAAACGTACTCATTGAAGATGCCCATAGGATGTACTTCCTGAATGCATTGACACAATTTCACTCAGCCCTGTGAATATGTACTTCCTTGTGTCACAACTTTCACACAGCTTGCCTTCTAAACCACAACTCAACATCTGAACAATGCAACATTATCATTGCTTTCTAGAAGCAATGCATGATGGGATATGTAGTATCGATATCTGTAAAAAATAAATCAAGGCAACTGGACCTTGTTTCTTAATTTGTGCCCCCTTTTTTGTGTTATGGAATACTACTTGATTGCTGTTACTAGAAAACTAAAAAATCAGTGACAAATCTTTTAAAAACTTTTTAAGGGCCATGTCAAAGGTCCTAGGGCTTGTGTGGATGAGCAAATGCAGTTTGCATTTAGGCACATTCAACCTGCATTTGACATCAGTTTGAGACACCTCTGAGATAATTTACAGTTCATTAACAATTTGATTTGTAGTGGAGCTGTTTCTGACCTGCAGTTAACCTGCTTCAAACTACTTTTGCATTCTCACTAATTGTATGGATATAGAAAGAGTTCTGAGATTAACAAAAGCCCATAAACCCAGGCCCTATGTGATAATAAGGAAATCTCTTCTTTTAGAAAGTTAGTATTCTTACTAGGGATGCTCCGATACCACTTTTTTAAGACCGAGTACCGATACTTTTTTTCAAGTATTCACCGATACCAATTACCGATACTTTTTCTTACATGGACAGGTCACATTTTTTCTAAAGCAATACAAAATCATGATTTTAGGTCAGTTTCCTAATATTATGAAGAACATGAAATGAACATGAAATTAATATTTATCATGCCATTGCCAACTAAGGCTTGTATCCCCATAGTGGGGAAAATAGATGAGCACATGTCTGGACTCCAGACCAGAACACTGTATAGTGTGGCACAGCTATATCCAATTCTGCATACCTGGCTTTATATTATAAGAACTTTATAATATAAAGCTAGGTATGCAATTGGATATAGCTGTGCCACACTATACAATAATACAGTGTTCTGGAGTCTGGACATGTGCTCATCTATTTTCCACACTATGGGGATACAAGCCTTAGTTAGCAATGTCATGATCTAAATATTCAGTTCATTTCATTATTCAATGTCTTTTTTTTTTACATTATACATTTATAATATAAAAAAAAAGACATTGAATAATGAAATTAACTGAATATTTAGATCATGCCATTGCTAACTAAGGCTTGTATCCCCATAGTGTGGAAAATAGATGAGCACATGTCCAGACTGCAGACCAATTTATTTAATGTCTTTTTAAAAAATAATATATGCCGTTAAACAGCATTTTTGTGCCCAGCCCCATGCGGTGCTGCAGTACTAACCTGCTGTGTCATCTTCTCCGTCTGCTTCAGCCACTCCATGTCACAGCCTAGTCATCGCATGATTTTCGGCAGGTTTTCCAGCGTGCTCGGAAGACGAAAGTTTGGCCGATTGGATAATGACAGTCACCTGACTGGTGAGGAAGCCTGTCAATCATCCAATCGGCCAATCAGCGGGAGAAGAGGTCAGAATGGAGCAGATGACTGAGGACTTGGAGGAGGAGTTCGCGGCCATTTTGTTTAATTGAAGACGCTATGGAGGTCCTGTGTGCGGCGTTTTCGGGTCCTTGAAGATGGCGGACGCGGCACAGGTACTCGTCTTTTGTATCGGAGTATTTGCAGGAGTACTCATACAAATACTCGGTATCGCCGCCGATACCGATGCTTGTATCGGTATCGGAGCATCCCAAATTATTACAATATCATAAACTCAAGTAGGATCAAGTTCACCCTCCTAAAGAAGCCTGCACAGAATCCAAACTCAAACTACAGGCAGCTGATAATGTAGCTGTTTTATTTTTGGTGCATACATTCAATTAGGAATACAGATGCTGCTCCTTTGGTGGAAATAGAAAGATTGTTTAGGAGGTGATAATGAAGACAGTCCCTCCCACTAAAATGTCAACTTGAGAATCGGCATGGTAAGGCTGGACAGGTTTTCTTTTCTGAACAAAACTGAAGCCATTGCATAACAGCTGAGAGTACATTTTGATTTACATCTGCACTTACATATTTTCTAAAGGTGCCCATAAAAAGGTGCCCAGGGGTGATCCCTCAATCGTACGTTAATCGGCAGGTGTATGGGCAGCGTGCGACCGCATCTACTGTATGGTCACACGACTTTCATCTGCCGAGCACGCTGGAAAACCTTCCGAAAATCATGCGATTTTCGGCAGGTTGGTAGCTGCTCAGAAGACGAAAGCCACACGGGCCAGTGTGCGCAAGCGCACACTGCCCGCTCAGCATTGCAATCATCGGCAAGCCCTCCCCTCAGCGGGAGGGCCTGCGATGATCGCAAGTACAATCTGCCTGTCCTAGATGGGCAGGTCGTACGAAATTTTAATCACCTTACAACCATCGCACAACGAAAGTCGTGCGATGGTTGTAAGGTGTATGGCTAGCTTTATGCTGGTCGTACACTGCTAGAATTATTTTATTGTTTGACTAAGTAATCATATTTTATCAAGCCAGCAAGACCACCCACTGTAAGAATGGAGGTCGAACAGTGACTGCAACTAATCAGCTACAGTCACTGTTCATGTATTCTGACAGCTGTGATAATGCAAAAGGCCTTAGTGAAAGACCCAGCCATCCACGCAGTTTTTTTGCACTACAGCTGGCCTTACACTTATATTTCCTAACAGTTTCCTCCATCCGCACTAATCAGCGTGTATGTAGGAATCTCCCGCTGTGTCCTTTGTATCCTGACAGCAGCAAGTGTGCTGCTGTCAGAATATTCAAACAGTGACGGCAGCTAATTGGCTATTATCACTGTTCGCCCGAAGATTTTCCTTCCGGCAAGTTTCATTTTCTGGTCAAAGGGGTGCAAGGGTGCTGACCGGGGCACCCATTGTTGGAATTTCATCAGGTTCTTGAAGAATGAAATTCACACAGTGTATGGCCAGCTTGAGCCCGCACACTGAATACAATCTATTACAATCTATTAGTGTATAGCCAGTAAAGACACATTTTTCAAGTCAGTCATGTTTTACTATAAAACATAATTGTTTACCCCAATGTGTGCAATTTTCAGGCAAGTACAGTAGGTGTGTCTAGTTTGCAATGTAGAAATAGTATTACAAAGGCTTGCTGAGTAGCTGAGGTCTCACTAATTAACAAAGGGATTTATAAAAGGTTGCTAGGCCCGGCAAGCTGCAGGCGTCCATTGAAATAATAATACTGTAACCTGTCTGTGAGCAACAGGCTGTACTAGTAAGGGAAAAACACTTTTACCTAGTAATTTCTCCAATACGTGAATATAGAACTAACTTGCCTTGAAGTAAGCAATCCGCAGAAACCCCCACAATCCATGACACACACAGTACTCATGATAAAATACAGAATCTGGATTTAATTACAAAATCGTTTTAAAAAATGATCAAAGTGTGTGGGTTTCTGCAGAATGCCAACCTCAATACTGCCATGTATACCGATTATCGGGCAGTATTATAATTACTGATCAAAGGAAAGACTATGTGGGTCATTCACAAAGCTACCGAAGGCAGCCGTGTGAATAACCGACCCAAAGTGAAGTGAGCCGAATGCAGTTCGGCTATTCACTTCAGGCTTGTACGGCTGATTTCAGCCGTACACCGACTAAAATCAGCCGTACATCGGCTTGCTGCGGCTGGAAGTGCAGAAGGAGTCGGCTCGGCTATTCTGCTCCGTACCTCTGTGGTCCCGAGCAGAATAGAAAAACAGTTTTAAAAAGTAGAAAAAAAATAGAAAACGATTAGCAGGGCCAGAGGTGATATGAAAGGCGACTCTGCTGAGTTTTTATGGTACTGACAGATCAGCGTCCCCTGGTTACTGAGTAACCAGGGGACGCTGAACTGTCAGTACCATGAAAGCTCAGCAGAGTTGGCTTTCATATCACCTCCGGCTCTGCTGAGCTCTCAGTGTAATGCAGGGGGGAGAGAGCACCCCCTGAAATGATGGCAGATAGCAGAGGAAGCAATAGCTTCTTTGCTATCTGCAAGTTTTGTTTTATTTTGTATTCTGACAGTCATGGGACGCCAGGGTACGCTGATCTGTCTCTGCAGGTGGCCGGAGCCAGCCGTGAGATGACGTCTGGCTCCGCCCAGCTGTCAGTAGCAGGCTGTTGGCCGGCCAAGCTTTGGCTTTCAGTCGAGTTGAGTCGAGTCATATGTCTTCGGCTCGACTGAGCCGCTCGGCCAACTTCGGGAGCTGTACGGGCTATAGTGAATAGCCCTACAGCAGCCCTTCGGTTCTACTGAACTGAAGAGGTCCTGGGGCCGAAGCTAGCCTAAGGATCAGCTGAAGCTACGGCTAGATCCTTCGCCAGCTTTGTGAATAGACCCCATTGTGTTTGGTAAAGGCTGTTGCCCACACACTGACAAGTTGTTTTTGTTTTCTTACTTTACTATAAGCCTACTAATTACTAAGTGGATCCAAAGCTTCCTTGACCCAGCTATTCTATTTATTTACATTGAAATATTATTTGACAGTAAATGATTTTGCAGGTACACCAGACTTTAAAACCAAGGCAGAGGTCATAGCGTAACGCTGGCCATACTTTAGTAGAATTTTGTTTTAAATCGGGGCCAATCAATGAGTGTTTTGGACCAAAGAGCTGAAAAAATGGAAGGAACAGGATGGAATGTTTTTCTTGAATAAAAGAAATGTTAACAATGAATGTGGTTTTTATTCAGGAAGCTCCATTCATTCCAAAATTAAATGTTAAAGTGACACTAAACTCACTAAATTACCTTAAAATACATGAAGTACCTTAAAGTGACATTAAACCCTCAGTGTTTTTAACATAAAACAATACTGTAATGTGCGCCTTACTGTAATCCATGGTTGTTGCCCTTCTCTTTGCTGCTTCTAAATCTTTGCTGCTTTTAAATCTGTATCTGTTCTCATGCTGGGCAGAACTTCTGTTTTGCAGCAGACTGCCTTGTCTCTGGAATGGCTACATGGTGTCTGTGTGTACGTTTGCAACCTGAGCCAGCACTATAGGAAGAGGCACTCAGCTGCAAAGGGAAGTTCTCCCCAAGCATGAGAAGACATGAGGATTTAAAAGGAAGAGCAGCAAAGAGAAGGGAAACTACCATGGATTACAGTAAGGCACACATTACAGTATTGTTTTATGTTAGAAAATCTGAGGGTTTAATGTCACTTTAACTATTAACAATAATGTATCTTATTTGTGTATCACTCGGCTGTAGGTCCTCAAATCATCTCTGAATTAATTCTGACACTGTCCTTCATTCTGGAGGGTGGCTACGTTTGTTCCCCATGGTCCCTGTGTGTGTTGTAAAGTAGCCACCGCTCCAAGCTCGCTCCCATGATGGACTACAATCTCAATATATAAACTAAACATGAGAAGGAAGGAAGGAAGGACAGTGTCAAAATGAATTCAGAGATGATTTCAGGATTTACAGCTGAGTGATACACAAATAAGATACATTTTTTGTTAATAGTTAAGGTACTTAAATACATTTTAAGGTTTAACGTCTAAGCTTAGTGCCACTTTAAAAGAAAATTAAATTTCAATGGCATTATCTGTCTGACTATATATTTCTGAGATACTGATTTATTTTATGCTAAGGCTGGATTCTCACTACTTCCGTTGTGTTTAGTGTACGTTGACACGTGCTAAATGCACTTGAGTTGATGTATATTAACAGCCATTTTTTTTAACTTGTTGCGTGTTAAAGAGTTAAAAAAAAAGTGTTTTGTTGCAACGATGAGCAGGTTTTTTTTGTTCCCAGCAGGGCAAAATACATTATTTCTATTTCCTTAAAAGAGAAATAATGTAGGGAAGAGAAGTAAAGCCAATCCTTTATTGGGTCACATTAATGCTTTTACTAATGTACTCCTGTGACCTAAAGTCAGCATATAGAGGGCCACTTCTTGCTATATGCTGATAGCGCAGAGCCACGTTGGTGCCGGGAAGGATCCTGACAATATTGTCAGGTTCCGTCTAGCTGCCTGATTGACAGCTGGCTCTGCCTCTCTAGAGCCAGAGCCATCTGTCCCTCCAAAGAGCACTGGAGTAACAAAGAGGGGAGAGGGGAATCCCTGTGTGGGAAGAGTACAATCTACTAATACTTCTCTTTTATATTGGTTGCAGTGCGCTGTAATGCCTTGTGAACGCAGCATATTCCATTGGTACCCAGAGCATTGCATAGGTGTAAACTGAACCTACTAAAAGCAATGCATTTTGGCTTGTTATTGCATTGGGCCTGTGTTGAGGAATACAGCCCAACTGGCGTGAATGGGTCCTCATAGGCTAGCAACATAGCATAGCAAGAGGAGATATGATTAACAGAGTAGATATGGATATGACATTGTATATGACAAGTATATATATGTAGTCATGTTTCACAATCAAATGACAAAGGAAGTTATTTTATAATGAGTAAAAAGACAAAAGTAATATGATTTACATTATTATCTGCTGCACACATAAGTGTTATCTTAGCCAAAATTTACAATGACAATAAAGACTTATGCAATGTTAGATATCTGACCAAGTTTCAAATTCATGTTATACAGAATCCTATTACAGTTTGTACAAATGAATAACAGACTACCATACTGTACATCATACATATTTTTATTATATTCACAGAGGACTGTGCACCATATCCGTTGTACTGCGTTTTTCTGCTCACCACCCCCACAATTATTGTGTGAACAGGGCATTTGGAAAAAAGTTGTTACCTATGGGCCCTATTCTCACCATACATGTGCGGTATTGTGCAGAAAAATGCAGTTCAACGGACATGGTGTGAATAAGATCGTAATCCCATTTTAATAAATAATTCACATTTGCAAAAACCACTATCAGCCATATCTCAGATTTAAATATGCACACAATTACCTTTTGGATTTTGACCATGTCTAGGTTCTCAGGCTCGGAATTTGCTGTCCCCTCTGCTAGGCTCTCTTTGGTGGATGTGCTGGACAACCCATTTTCCAGTAACTCGATTTCTCCCTCCAGCCTGAAACAGACAAAGGGGTCTCATCAATAGAAAACTATCTATATTATTTAAATACTTAGGGGTCTATTTTTAAACAATTTGCAGAACCATTCTCCCTGTGAGTCTCTGTAAACATTTGTTGTGGGCAAATAGAGACAAAAACGAATGTTATTAGTAGGGATGCACCGATACCGTTTTTTCGGTATCGATTACCTATATTTTCTTATTGGTGCTCACTGATACCAAATACTGTTACTGGAAGTCCCATTAAGGAAGCCAGGTGGCGTGTAATGACTCGCCACCTGGCTTCCTGATTAGCCGGGAAGCTGGGCGGCATGTAAAGACTCACCACGCAGGTTCCCGATTAGCACAGAAGCCGCCTCCATGCTCCCTCGTCACCAGGTCAGGAGGCCAGGGTGCGGGTAATGATGCGCCGTCTGGCTTCCTGATTGGCCAGCTTCTCGACCAATCAGGAAGCCGGGCGAGTTATTACACGGCGAAACCTGAAGTTCAGGTATCAGGCTAGGCATCTGAGCATTTGGGCGAGTACATTGCGGTATACTGAGCCTAGGGTGATGGGAGGACGCTAGTTTGTGTCCTCCGGTT